TGCCACAGTCGTCCCTGAAATTGAGACGTCGGCCGAGGACACGAACAACGATGAGCAACTCTTGTATCGGGTGCCGATATTTGATCCGGTACTCGCTGAATTCTGCTCCCCACCTCTCGCTGTCGATGAGACTAGTTCGGAAACAAAACCAAATGTTCAGCTGACTGATACTAACACTAAGGCGCGTAACAGCAATGAGATCCTCTCCGGATTTCTTCAATCAGATGCTGAACTTGCCGATTTTGCAGCTGACATGGAGAGCCTCCTTGGTCGAGGGCTGGACAACGGGTCGTTCTCGATGGAGGAGCTCGGGCTCGTCGACACAAGTTACAGTACTCCTGACGAAAGCGAGCGAGTGAAGGAGGAGTACGTGGAGAATGATGCAGACGGCAGCGTGAAGCTCTATGAGGAGATTGATTTGTCGAGGGAGGCATTGGAGATTAACTTCGATTGTTGTAGGTCAGGGGATGAGCATCAGGAAGAGATGGCCGAGACTGAGGCAGCAGTAGAAGGAGAGGTAGTGAGTGGTGAAGAGAATCAAGGAGGGAAGAAGATTGGGTTGATATTGGATTATGACGCGGTCGCCCTTGAGTGGTCGGCTCAGGGATCATCCTTGTCGCCGTGGGTCAACGGCGAGAGGCCGCAGCTCGGACCCGGTGCTCGCTGGCTTGATTACATGGTAGGTGCTGTTTTTTGACTGCAAATTTTAAAGTGCAGAGGCTTTGTCTCCTGAGTACACGCAAGTAATTGAAGATCACGATTTAAACTTATGAATCACGAGAATTCTTCAGTTATATTACTAACAAATAGTTTACTAGTTTCTCTTGATCTGTGACAGGTGAATATAACTAAGCTAGTTATGATCTCAAGCTTTCTCCCTCTCAATTATTATAGATTTACATGCTTATTGTCAATTATATATCGTTTTTCAATTGTATGTGCAATACTTAGTTTTTCAGTTACACAACATTGCAGGGAATGTGGGGAGGAGGAGAGGTGCAAGGACTAGTCGCAGGAGAGATAGGAGGAAGCCATTTCGACGAAGGCAGAGAGGCAAGGGTATCAAGATACCGCGAAAAAAGAAGAACACGGTTGTTCTCGAAGAAAATTCGGTACGAAGTTCGAAAATTGAACGCAGAGAAGAGGCCTAGAATGAAAGGGAGGTTTGTAAAGAGAGCTTCTTTTGCCGCCCCTGCTGGAATTCCTGCATTCAAGTATTGAGCACAGATGTGCAGGAGTTCTTGCTCTGAGTAAATAGCCATGTAGTTCCTTTTTTTTTTTTTTCTGTTTTTCCCTCGCCTTAACAAAGTTTTGCCTGTTGTAAAGTTGTGGGCTTAATCGTAAGTCTCCTGCTCCCTTTTTTTTCCTTCTTTTTGGGGGGAATGTAATAAAGCTGATCTTGTCATTTGCACAATTAAAGAAACTGAAGTTCCAAATTATGCTGTGTGAAGGAGGATGTTGTAGGGAATTTTTAGATCTCCTAAAACCTCCGAAAAAACCACCAAACGTAGAAAATAAAATTACACAAAATTTAACGTGGAAAACACTCAACAAGTAAAAATCACGGGATCAAAATCAATCCACTATCACTTCCAAATTACAATCTTTTGCACGGACAAAGACTGCCAAACCCCCTCTCTCTCTTTCTCTCTACACTTTTTTTTCTCTAACAATAGAAGGACATATATAGGGAAACCAAAATCCTATCTCTAGCCTAACTTCCTAATTAGAATAAGATTCAAACTCCTAATCATGATGAAACTCAAACTCCTAATCATGATAGATCTCTAACCCTATCTAATTCTCATGAAGTTCTACAAAGAATTAAAAACACTATACTAACTTGGAGTTTGAGTCGATACTCAACATATCCTCCCTCGACGAAAAATCTCCAAGTGTCTCAACGGCTTCAGAAAAACTCACTCTCTTCATCTTGTTCTTCACCTCTCCCTTGTGGACAAGAGTCTGAGAAGAATAATCTACACTATTAACGGATCACCTATCTAAATAGCAAATATGGTTGCTATTCTTCCTCCCTCGCAAAATCAAATCACCATCTCTATACACTTTGCATTTTTCTCCTTCACCCACATACTTGTACCCACGTGATGTCATCTCACCCAATGAAATTAAATTAGCACCACATGACGGCACATATCTCACAGTGTGAAGCTTGAGGCGAACACTTCCAATACCTTCAACCTTCATCTTCTCGTTGTTTCCAACAATCACGTCGTCAAATTCTTCATCTTTCTTTAATATGTTAAAATAATTTTTGTTGTTGCAAATGTGCATAGAGGCTGTAGAATCTAACACCCAAGTGTTACTCGCATCAGTATCTATACTCTGCATCAATAAAACCACATCTTCATCACACACAACCACCGAGGAGTCCGCATTCTTCCCATTTTCTTGAAGCTTCATTTGTCTAATACTTTTCAAATCATCACGCATCTAGGAACATCTGAACTGAATGTGACCATTCTCTCCGTAATAATAGCACTCCTTTTTGTTGTCGTCTCGGGCCCGAGATTTTGACATTCCTCGATAACTGTCACATCTTCCCGTACTCATCCCTCGATTAGAACCTTCAAAAGCTAGTGCACTCTCACCACCATTAGATACGCTCTCCTTTCCCATCATTCTTTCATTCTCACGTAGGAGTGTTGCCACATCGTTGAACTTCAAAGTCTGCTTCCCTGCAATTATCGTCTGAACTAACGGTTTGTGTAGGCTGTCTAAAAATCACAATAGATAGCTTATCCCCCATCAA